AACAAACGCGGGTTACACATGCAACGCACGTACACCAAAATTAGTGAATATATATGTGTGAAAAGTCACACAGTATTTTTTTAACAAATATTAAGTTGTAATCTCAAAGGAGTTAAATAAATCAAGTTCAAATCATGGATCTATCTTTGAGTTTATACCTCTTTTAATAGAACGTAGTCACTACGAATTCCTATTTTTTCTGAAGCGACATCTTTGAACCACCTTGGCATGTGATTCTTTTGGTGATTTTGAATTTTTGTTTCCACAAAAAATTACTTTTCCCGACGACTTTCAAGCGTCGCCGCAAATAAGTTTCACCAATTGGACATCTCTCATCATAGTGTTATCAAACTCAACAACAACAATAATAACATACCCAGTAAAATTCACTAGTGGGGTCTAGAGAGGGTAGATTAAATAAATAAATAAAAATCTTGATTGCTTTTGTAGGTTAAGTGGCAACTTTAATCGCCATGAAAAGTCTAATTTTTTCTTGAAGTTTATTTAATTTAATTTTTGCGCTAAAATCAAATATTTCCCTTAGTTTGTCTTTTTTGCCCTAGTTCCCTAACAGTTCCACTACTAAAATAGACATATAGCCTGTTTGGCGAAGCTTTTTTTTTTGGCAAAAATGGAGGTGTTTGGCCAAGCTTTTGGAATGAAAAAAAATACTTTTGAGGAGAAGCAGAAACAGTTTTGGAGAAGCAGAAAAAAGTAGGTACTCTTCAAAAAGCACTTTTTTGAGAAGCACTTTTGAGAAAAATACACTTGGAAGCAGTTTTCAAAAGCTTGGCCAAACACTAATTACTGCTCAAAGTGTTTTTCTAATTAATTAGCCAAACACAAACTACTTCTCACCAAAAATACTTTTTTTAAAAGTACTTTTGAGAAAAACACTTCTCAAAATAAGCTGATTTTAGAAACTTGGTCAAACGGGCTAATAGTCTTAATCCTCAACATGTGGATCGAGAGAAGGAAAATGAAAGGTGGAGTCTATAAATGTATTAAATTTTTTTATTAAATATCTATAAATATTTAATTATGACCTTAATTATTACCATATGCATATTGAAGTCGGTATAAAATTCATAAACTTTAAATTCAAATTTCTCCTCGGATTATAAGTCATTATCAGTGGAGAAGAGAGAGAAGCATCATAGACAAGAACAAAAAGGACAACAACAAGTGAGGTTTGTTCTTTAATAACCAGCAAAAATCCAACAGGTAGCAGTGGCCAAAGAGTAAATAGTAGTGATATATATGGGGCCTCTTATAATATTCCATCTGCATTTTCCACCTGAGTTGCTAACATCTTCCATGTGATTTCCTCATATACAGACATAAAATCTACGTGGCATATGATGTATGTATCAACTACTAATATTCTGATCATGTCTATTATTATTATTATTATTATTATTATTATTATTATTATTATTCCACATGCTCACATCTTACTTCGCCATATATAAAATATTTATTTCCTTTCAGTGGGGTAAGGTATGTTTCACCTCCGCGTTTGCGTAGAGTTACCTCAACTCCCCAGCCCAGCCTATCTAACGCTACGCGTTCGCGTTTGACTGGTCGCATTCGTGAAGGGCAAACCCCTCAATGCTCCGCGTTCGCGCCCCCGAGAAAAGAGCAGCTTATCCTTAGCACTCCCAAGAAGTTCGATGAAAGGAAAGCTACATTGAATGTGCCAAGATTATATGTACCAAAGGCATATCATATTTATTTCCTTTCGTTGTCTCGGTCTTGTGCTGAATAACTTTGTCTACCAAAGTTTAGGTAAACAGGAAAAAAATGATAAAACATATTTTGACTCTTTTGAATTTGGACCATAATTTCTAGTGATTTTCACTCACTTTATTTGTCGTTAGACGATACCTCGGATGTATATCGCAGTGTGTTTAAATTTGTACGACAAGTGCGTAAATAGTGTGACTTACACAACATCAATATGAATCTACCATCTCTTAAGACATACATTCATTGCGCCAAACAATCGAGTTTCAGTATGCCTGAGATTACCACAACAATAATGTTTATAAATTAAATTATTTCGTTAATTGGATTTCACTTAACTGTCTACTGTTCCATTGTATAACTGAATGATATTTAGAAGTCTTCCTCTTAGAATTTAGAAACATAGTGGTTTTGTCATTGACTTCAGATCCTTTTTTCTAGTTAAAATATCATGGTATAGCCAGTTTTCACACTGGTCAATGAAAAATAGCCAGTGTTTATCAAGTCAATGAAAAATAGCCACTATTTTGCTGCAACAGGGACCGGTCCAGTATAATATACGGGAGTTCTGGTGCATTTGTGTACGAACTCCAGCATATTATGCTGGACCGGTATACTTTGCTAACTCCTGTAAAATTTGCGGGAGACTGGAGCACCAGTGCTCCAAACTCCAGTATATTATACTGGACAATTATACTTGCTGGAACTCCCGTAAAATTTGCGGGAGTTCCAGCATAATTATGCTTGAACTCCCGTAAAATTTGCGGGAGTTCCAGCATAGTTATCTTGGAACTCCCGCAAGCATACTTATGCTGGAACTCCCGTAAAATTTGCGGGCGTATTTTTTCGGATTTTGAACAGTGTTTTCGCTCAGATTTAAAATGGGCTAAATTTCGATGACTTTTAAAATTTGGCTATTTTTCAACGACCAGTGGTAAATCTGATTATTTTTGAATTTCTCCCTTTTTTCTATCACTTTCTGCCCATTGCTATTTTTGTTGTCAATAAGGACAGCACAACCCAAAGCAATGCACAATAGCCAGTCTGGTATAATACCAACAAAAATATAGCCTGTTGTGACCAAATGTGTGTTAGAAAAGTTGGTGCTCATTTTTCTGTTTACCATAACAACCTTTTTTTTTTAAATAACTGTAGTGTCCGTATCACTAATTAATTTTATGAGATATTTATAGTATTTCCCACCAGCATGGATATTGGGTAACAGGGGTGGAGCTAAAAATTTGAGTTTATAGGTTCTATATTTTTTTCTTTGGTTTCCCACCCGGTATCCGGTACCAGCATTGGAGCCCAGACTATATCCGAATTCGCGCCGCGTAGGGCCCATTCGGGGGGAAGCGCTCCCTACCAAGGATTTTCCATACCCAGAGCTCGAACTCAAGACCTCTGGTTAAGGGAAGGGCAGTCCCATCCACTACGCCACATCCTTTGGTTATATATTTCTATATTTAAAAAAAGACAACTTATTGGATTCTAGATAAGTTATCTACACATATTAAATTAATTTTTTAACACAAATACCGGATTTGGAATAAAACTATAGAGTTCGGCAGAACCCATACGCAAGCTTGCAGTGGCGTATCTGGGACTATAGCTACGGGTTCATTGAACTCGTAACTTCCGAGGCGCATCATACTGTAAAAATTTACTAAAATTGTAAAAAATTGTGAATATGAACCCATAATTTTGAAAATATGATGGGTTCAATGCTAGAAATCTTAAATATTGAACCTATAAAATTTAAATCATGAATCCGCTCCTGCAGGTTTGTGGCTCCACCTCTATCAACTTTGTCCATCAAAACTTTTAAATAAATAAAAAGAAATCACCTAATATATTTGCATCCACCAAAATTTTAGATAAGTTGGTGCTCATTTTTCTGTTGCCATAACAACTTTTCACAAACGAAAAATACTAATGGAAGTGGAAAACCACTCTGGCAAATTACAGACCTATTAATTAACAGCAAAAGACAAAATTGCTTTTTTTACTTGCACATCCTACACCCTATAAAAAAATCCTTTAGGCCAATTATACAGATTCCAACCTTTCATGAAATGCCTCATTCCACTAAAAAAGACATCTCTCTGGTCTTTTCATAATTTGGTTTTTGTGTGTGAGAGAGAGCATGTAACTTTGTCTTCTCTTGCAAAGAAATCAACCTATTTTTACATTTAAACATTTAGGCTAGCTGTCAATGTAGTGAGATAAATTAAAGAAGATGGGTCCAAAAGTAAACGGAGCCATAAAGTAACGTTAAAGTTGTCTCTATGTTACCTATAGATCACGGGTTCGAACCGCGGAACAAGCCACTAATACTTGCATTAGGTTAGGTTATCTATATCACATCCTTGGGGTATGACCATCCCCGAATCCTGTGTGAATTCGAAAGATTTTGCGCATCAGGTTGCCCTTTTTTTTGCCTAAGCCTTTCATGAGCAGTGTTATTCGGCACATGTATAATTGGAGGTAGCCAGTGGAATAATCAAGATCCGGACAAGTTAACTCGGACACCACCATTTTAAAAAAAGAAAAAGAAGATATCAACCTATTTGTTTTGGATCACCCTTTCTGCACTACAAACCAGAACTTGCTCTTTATCCATCTGGCTTATCCAGCAAAATCTTTTTCATCTCTTGATCAAAATTAACCTAATGGTATTATAAATATCTGATATCTATGATTTATTTCCTTTTAGTTCCACCAACTTTAGAATGGTACAAGACTACAAGTTAATGCATACTAGCACTCAACCCCTATTCATAGCAAAATCACTATAACAGTACAGAGAAGGAGATATAGTGCAGCTCAGTGCACAAGGCATCTCGTGTTCTCGCAAGTTCAAGAAAGGGCCGCACCCTAAGAGTAATGACGTAGACACCCTAACCTAATGCAAGCATTATTTCATAGCAAAATCACTATAACAGTACAGAGAAGGAAATATAGTGCAACCCGGTGCACAAGACATTCTGCATTCACGTAGAGTCGAGGAAGGGCCGCACCCCAAGGGGTGTGATGTAGACAGCCTAACCTAATGCAAGCATTATTTCATAGCAAAATCACTATAACAGTACAGACAAGGAAATATAGTGCAACCCGGTGCACAAGACATTCTGCGTTCACGCAGAGTCGAGGAAGGGCCGCACCCCAAGGGGTGTGATGTAGACAGCCTAACCTAATGCAAGCATTATTTCATAGCAAAATACTATTAACAGTACAGAGAAGAAAATACAGTATAAGAAAGAAATGGCAAATTTATTTCATTATTTCATATTCTATGTCTCCAACTACAAAAAAAGTGAATTGTTCTAATAACCATTATTTATGACTATATCCATAAATGAATAATACAACAAAGAAACAAACCTTTTCTGAGAATTTCACATATTGAGCAGATGACCTGTATCTCTATACCCCAAACTCCAAGTAATGTAAGATGCCCTTGACATCACTCTCTTGCTTACCATCTTAGATTCCAATTTCTAATAAGATATTGCCCGTTCCGATTCACTCACTGACTCTAAATTCTGAATTCGCTTCTGCCTGCACTGTACAAGAAAATGCAAACCAGCATAGAGCACAATCTGCTCCAAGCAAATGAGACCTGCTAAAACCAGACTTGACTCTCTGCAGACATTTACAATACAAGGAATGACAAAGACAACCAACACCTTTGATTGAGCTATGTGCAATTCTGTAACCAACTTTTGAACCTGCATTTTCTACAAAACAGCATTGCCAATATTCCCCTGATCAAGTTTGTACTTAATCTTCCTGGATAGACTCTGCTCACAAAATAAACACAAGGAAATTATATCAATCAAGAATGGAACTTGAAGTGCTAGTCTTGTACTACTTTAAGCACATTCTATAAAGGGCAGCCCAGTGCACTAAGCTCCCGCCATGCGCGAGGTCCGGGGAAGGGCCGGACCACAAGGGTCTGTTGTACGTAGCCCTACCTTGCATTTCTGCTAGAGGCTGTTTTCACGGCTCGAACCCGTGACCTCCTGGCCACACGGCAACAACTTTACCAGTTACGCCAAGGTTCCCTTTTATGTAAGCACATTATATAGATGATGCATAATGCTGACAAAAACAAAGAACTAAGAATGTTTAAGTTCTTGAAATCTCTATATAGCACTCAAATAGAACCCCAAAAAAGACAAATCTTGGAGCATTCTGCCTGCACCTTGTGCAAATATAGTACTAACTATGCTTAACATGAATTTTTCAGCTTTAATTAACAAATGGACAGAAACCCAAAAACCATATTAGAAAACCATACAGATTTAAAGCAGAACTAAAATGACCAATATTTGATTAACCATCCAATTGGTAATTGGATTGCTCTCAAGAACTAAAGTTCAAATCTTGTAAATAACTACTACTACGCCTAAATGCATTCTGCTCTATTTAGACCATTCTGATTTTAATAGTACTCAATAATTTCTCCTTCTTAGTCATAGTATCTTGCAAAGAAATAGTCAATTCATGAACTCGTAGAAGGGAATACACGACGTGAATCCAGATTAGTCAGGATAGTGGATTCTTAAAATCGAACACAACAACAAGTACGCCTCAATCTCAAGCAAGTTGGGATCAGATATATGGATACTCATTGATCACATTACTCCATTCTGATTTTAATAGTACTCAATAATTTCTCCCTCTTAATCATAGAATCTTGAGAAACAAATAGTCAATTCATGAACTCTAGCAGGGAGTACACGGCGCAAATTCAGATTAATCAGGATAGTCGATTCTAAATATCGAATACAACAACAAGAAGTATGCCACAGTCCCAAACAAGTCGGGATCAACTATATCAATTCTCATTGACCACGTTACTCTATTCTGATTATACTCAATAATTTATCCCTGTTAATCATAGAATCTTGAGAAGCAAACGGTCAATTCATACACGAATTCCGATTAGTCAAACCAGTGGATTCCGAATACTGAATGATTAAACCAAAAAACAATACTAGTAAAAACAAACCAATCAAGAAAAAGTAAGACTTTAGACACGCGTCATGGATATATTGAGTTTGGTTGGTGTAAACACCAAGTGCGAGTAAGTTTTTACCTTAGCTTCAAGATCTGTAAGTTGAACAGCAGTACATTCCTTTGGACTATCAAATGCAGACAATGAAAACTGCTTAGAGACAACACCAACATCAAAATAAATAACACCAGAACTTGAAGCTGAAACATAGATTCTCTTCACTTGAAACCATAAAAACAAATCTTTAGCTGAAATCCCAGAAACTGAATCGATCTGACCATCACTAACTCTTCCTGATACATTCCTTTCATAGTGTAATTCATTTTCCTTTTTATCAAATACTGCATTACAAGCTTGATCTAAATGGACAACAAAATTCCCAGAGTTATCTAATGTAAAATTCCTCACACCCTTTGGTAGTAAACCCTCTGGTAATCCATGGGATTTAAGAACTTCATATATTGATGATTCTGCTGAGACTAAAACCAATATAGAAAATAAAAGAAAAGTGGATATGAAAAAGGATTTTTCAAGATTATGATGAAACAACATCTTGGTGTTAGTGCATAGGGGAAAAAGAGTTTTGGGGTTTGAGAAAATTAAGGTTTTTGGGTTGTTTAAAAAGTGAGATTTTAAGGGGAAAAAAAGAGGAAAATGATGGTGGAGAAGAATAAGAAGATGAAATGAGGAACAAAGGAGAAGCTTAGAGGCAAGTGTTGCCAGCAGGAGTACAGAAAGGATTAGGAGAATTATCAATTATTGGTGGTCATTGTGTGGGGTCCATTCAAGTGGAGGTATTTTTCCCATGTGGTGAAGTACACCACAGCTAATAGAGTTTTTTTTTTTTTTTTTTTTTGGTTCCCCACTTGTAGCTTGTTTTGGAATTTGGATGGTTGTTATTTAGTGTATCGTATTGTTATTCTAAATCTAATGCTTATTTTGATTGTTATTTGAATTTTATTGTATCGTATCGTTAAATTCGTCGTTATGTAATGACGAAAAATGTCACTTTATCTAACGACGGATTTGGTGTGTGGTGGTGTCGTTACCTTGCTTTTTCCTCTCATCTTGCCCTTTTTTATTATTAAATAATCATATTTTATCATTTATCATACTTTTTTATAAAATAATTCTATAATTTTCTTAGTAATATTGTAAGTTTATTCTTCATGTTGTTGGTGCATGACATCATCAAATAACGGCAAATGATACAATCTATCCAAACGTTGTATTCATCAAATAATACAATACAATACAATATAATATAATACGATACATTATGAAACGACATATAACAACCATCCAAACAAGTTGTCAGGAGTCGTTGGTTGTATAAGAATAGTGCTGAATAACGTGTATTAGTAATATAGAGATTAGTAATGCAAGCATTAATTATGCAGAGTAGTGTATTAAAAATTAAAATGCATGCAAAAAAATTTTAAAAATTAGTTGTTTACAAAAATACCCTCCATATTCTTTAGTTTTAAGGGACTTTAAGGATAATTTTATTTTTAACCATGCTAAGCATTAATAGTCTCGGTATTTGATAATAGCATGGTTTTTTATGTATTAGTTATACATAAGATAATACCAAATAGGTTGTATAACTAATACTTGTATTAATAATACATGTATTAAAACTCCACATTCACATCAATGTATATTACCCCATTCTTCTTTAAGCACACTTACATCAAGAGCCACCACTTATCAATGAATTTTTTTTTCCACAAGAATCCAACCTTTTTTTTTTTCCAATTCAAGTAGCTCTTACTTTTTCAAAACAGTGCACATTTCTCCTTATTTTATTAGTTCCACTCAAAAGCCAAACCAACCACCCCACACTTTAACTTTTACATAGTTCATAATAATTCACGTGCTCATGAGAGGTTACAATGGTTCAAATAGAGGGTTAATTCGAACAAATGGGTAAGGCTTGTAATGTGGTTGCCAAAGAAACAGGATTACAAGCTCAAAGGGTTAACTACGATACATAATAATTAGGCGGGTAAAATATACATATCTGGCTCAACAAGAAAACGCCTATATCCCTTCCAAGACTGAATAAAACTACTATTTCACTTTGCAAACACACGGGGCAAGTTCTAGGCATCAAATGCAATGCACAGAATAACACCAAATCTTACACACACATGGCACATAACTCACTCAGGATTGGATTCATCAAGACACCCTAGTCAGAGCAGTTAAGCAAATTTAAGATCATACAATTTAAGGTACTTATACAAGAATCAAAATCCGAGCCTAAGCGTCACAGCCAAAGTACTCACTATTCTCAAGGCATAACAAAGTCAAGAGATATTGCTTCATTTCAAAACAAAACACAATGGCTCCTATTCCCAAAAAAAAACTAACTACACCCGGTTCAAATAAAACCCTTGGAAAAGAACCGTGGTTTAAAGAAAAACCAAGAGGTAATTGCTACACTACCTAACAAAACAAAAAATCTTTTTGGTATTTTCTTTAGACTTACTTCCCTCAAGAAAACTGTCTAGAAGATCCGTCATCAGGAAAAGTCCAATCTTTTAAAAAAAAAAACACACAGCTAAAGTAGCATGAAAAATCACTCAGACAATCTCCTCACCCCACACTTAAAATTGTGCATTGTCCCCAATGCACACCCATACATACAAGAGGGTAAAAGAAACTCCCTGGTAGGCCAAAGGCCGAAGCACTAGCAGTTCATGGGGTACTCAGACTTCTCCCAAGCTTGGTCCTTCGTGTGGGTACCTCACACTTAGTTCCAACCATTTGGTTTGCTGATGCATCCTTCCAATACCTTTGCTTTCCATGCTCCTAGAAAATAAAAAACTGACACTACAAAAATAATACAATTAAAAAAAATAAAAATTAAAAAATAAATAAAAGAAAGCAATAAAGCTGGGTTGCCTCCCAACAAGCGCTTGATTTAACGTCGCGGCACGACGTGAGTCACTTTCTGCCTCCACTTTGAACTTATGAATCGGACCCCAAGTTTTGATTCTGCTCTATGATCATGCTCCTGGGGTGGTGGAACGAATCCAACTTGCCCAATAAAATAATGTAGTATTCTGCACTTCTTGGCCTTTATATGAGGTGTGTAATCCCGACTTTCTGGCAAGAAGAATTCCAGAATGTAAGCACTTTGTTCCTCATTCCTTGACTCCTCAAATGGCTCGGACGACTCTATTTCCATATCATCATCTAAACACAATGTGGAAAAATGCTTGGAGTGAGGACCAATGCCCTCAACTACATGAACATTGGAACAGTCTACATTCTCAACACTAATGACAATAGAGTCAACAAAATATGTATCCTCAATATCCTTGGTTGACTCTAGTATCTCTTCTACAACATCGACATCCTCAAAATCTAGTGCGACTGATTGTTGGTGTTCTACTCTAGCATCCTCCTCTAGCTCATCAATTTCTGTATCTAATTCACGCTCTTCTTGGATACTATTCATAATATTGGCTTGTTGAGCATTAAAAACTTCAACCAGTTGACTCATGTGAACTTTCAAGTTGTGAATAGTTTCCTCCTGCCTTTCTATCCGCAATAGTAATTTACTCTGTTGTTCCAAAATGCACTTTAACATATCTTCGAGCTTCTTTAGGTCAGCTTCCCTAGGTTCTTTGTTCCTATTAACTTCACCAGAAAAAGAAGAACCATCAAAGTAAGGGGTTGGGGGAAGGTAAGAAATATAAGCACAACCGTGAAAGTGACCATCTTGACCACCACACATATCACACACATTCCACACATAAGATTGAGTTGGTGCACAAAACTCGCTCTCAGGAATATTTTGATAATTTTGCCCTGGGTGGTTTCCTTCACAATATGCATAAGGAGGATCAAAAGTAGAATTACCAACAACAAAATTCTCATAATTCCATGATGTCATGTTTCTCAAATAAACAAATAAAACTAAAATAAAAAAATAAAAAAAATCAAATAATAAAATAAAAGTTCAAACTTGAAACCTAGCAATATGTACACCTACAACTACACCGTTAGTTCCCCGGCAACGGCGCCAAAATTTGATCACGCCCAACTATGCCTTATAAAAAGGACAATGCGGTCGTTGCAAATATAATCCGGTTTACAAGTCCGGAGTCGAATCCCACAGAGAACTAAGGTTTAGCTACAGCTGTTCACTATCACCAAGAAGACAAGCTTGAACAATTCCTAACTTATAGATATTAAGATTCTTGTGTTTAACTACTTAACTAACAAATTAAGATAGTAAATTAACAACTAACGATTCTGAGGGTTAGAGAAAAGATTAAGGAGGTCTAGAGTTATGATTTCCCCAATTGTCGGAATCCTTCCCGCTATGTCTTCTATAATTTCGCCTAAGTATTCTCTACCGATCATGAGCACTCTTATTACCGTAAATCTCTCCCGAGTAATTACGACAATTTACTAGACGCACTCTCCCGAGCTACGCTAGCTGGCTTTTAATACAGCTCACTTCAGATCGCACCCAAGGCTTCGTTATCCCTAATCCCACCTTTAAACCCTCGGTTATTGATCCCTCATATACTCTGGGAGTGGTGTTGTTCAACAATTACCTAAATATGCACTCTCTCCCGAGTTATGCATACTAAATATGCACAGCTAATTGAGAGCTCTTCAACCAACCACAATATAAACGTAGTTGAACAAATAGAGAAAAGCTATGGCTCAATTATATAAAAACATAACAAGAATTTATCCTGCAAAAGGTTCTATCAAAACTCTAGATAACAAATTAGCTATTCATAATAGTATGTAAAACTACAATACTAAAAGTCATAACCAACAATGAAAAATAGGAAGAGGAAGGAAAAACTCGTAGAAGAATTCTCCGCCTTGCTCCCAATGTGTTCTTGCCTCTAAGGGTGTTGTCTAACCCTTTAAATTAGTGTCTCCTCGCCTCCTTAGGTCTAATTTGTGTCCAAAATATGTCCCCTTCTTGTTCTTGGTCGGTCTCCTTTGTTTAATATAGGGTTTAGGACTTAAAATCCCATGTTTTGCACTTTAGTCCCTGAAATTTTCGCTCCTGCCGCGGTTTTGCCGCGGTCGCGGTGGAACCGCGGCCAAACTGCCCTCTGATTCTTCAGTTGTCCGCGAGTACACTCTGCCGCGGTTCTGCCGCGGGTCGCGGCAAAAACCGCGGTTTTTCACCCTGTTCCGTTTGGAATTTGGAAAAACGTAAAACATGAAAGTTGTAGCCCTTTGAGTTAGCTTTCCAACCATATATTGTAGAGCCCAAATGAAGTTTCTGAGCAAAAAGTTATGTCTATTTTACTAGACAGTGCGCAATATCGCTCCTCAAGCCTTCGTCGTACTTAATTATCAAATTTACGACCCGAACACGATCCCGGCTTAATTCCTTGAGCTTTTACTCAGACTTCAAAGCTTCAAATCACTTAAATTCATTCCATAACATCTATATAGCTCGGAATCACACCTACAAGGCATAAAACACACAATTAGTGCAAAACACTAGCGATTAAAGCGCAAACTAAATTAAAGTGCAGTAAATTCGAGTGTAATAAGCGACTAAAATATGCAATTATAGCCTATCATCAATTACCAAATCAATTTTTTTTAAAACGTTTTTCATTATCATGACTATCTTAAGTTAATAAAAAAACACCACTAGCTTAACTTATTTTTGATGAATTTGTTGTGTTTCATTTTGGGCTTCATTTGAAGTTCGAATGTAAGCCAGCT